AGCTGTCCACAAGAAGGTCATGACAAATCCACTGTAAACTTTCCAATACTTAAATGTCAGTGAACCATTTTTATAGAAGCGGACGACGAAATTGCTAGAGTTTTTCTTGTTGTCAAAATACACGCCGAAAATTTTCATAAAAGTTAAAGTCGGTTTGAGGGTTTCGTAAAAGGAATGTTTTGATAAATCAGACCAAGCTTCGTGAATGCTTGATGCAGTTACTTTTTTGTGTACGTTGCTTGAACGTTCATTAAGAACCAGTTCCTGCTTATTAGAAATACAGGCAATGTTCGTGCTTCGCATCATTTATAATGTTTTATAGACTATAATACTTTACGATAGCTTTTAACAAACTTATCTCTAGCTCCTTTTATTTTATTTCGAAATACATGAGGTTTTTTTCTTAAATAGACTACATATACATGTGTCACGCACGCGCAAATATCTTTCAATTGTAGTCCAATCACACTCACCCAGCTGTAGCTGCACACCTATTGAAAGGCAGTAAAGTAAACGTGAAGTGAAAACAAAAGCATTACATTTTACTTAGAAACCGATAAACAAACAAATTATAACTAAAACATGAAAATATATTATTCGTTTAACGTTTTCTTTTTTATCCCATTTTTTATTCATCGGGATTTGTTACTGCTTTTAAGTACTCTGTAACTTTTTTTAAATGTCATCATCTGAAAAGAAACCTAACACCAATTAAAAAGAAGACGTTAAAAGACAAATAGTTGCTATATGACGACACAATCTACTTCCATCTGAAAACCATCCTTCTAACAGAAGTGGTATAAATGAAATATGAACAGCATATCGCACTTATTATTCCTAAAATACACTATCAGGCAGAATGAATATGTGGAGTGCGCATTTCGTTGTTGATTTTATGAATACTCCGAATAAAAAACAAAGTTTTTTATAAGTCAAATAATAAGTCAAAATAGTTTAGTGACGTGGCCGTAATGTTAAGCTTTGCTGTTCTGAAATATTTAAACACATAAACATGAGGTTTCGTAACATTGTATAAAATCACTTCTGTTAGTAGTAACTGACCAAACAGCTTCACGGATTTCTCAGTAGGACATGTCCTTTGTTAGTGTTCTGCTTCTTGTTATTCTCTGTTTGTGGTCAAGTGTCTCATGTTGGGTCAGCGATAAGTTTCCGGTCTTACAATGCTAGAATGAGGGGTTCGGTTCCACAGAGGGCCTGCTGTAATAGCTTTGCGCAAAACAAAACACACGACTACAACCACTTGTTATCAAGCGCAAAGCTACACAATGGGCTATCTGCACTGTATCCACCACAGGAAATCAAACCCCGTATTTTATAGTTATTATCCTTGAGATAAATATTGCCATTGAGTTAGAAAAACAACTGCAGGGTAGATTTTTCTAACTATTTCTGTACATACTGATCATTCCCTCGGGTTAAATATATTTGTCTTTTTTCAATATTACATGGTCTAAAGACTATGTTCGAAAAACTATCCCACATTTTAAGCTTTCTTATTGAAACTACAAAAGATCACGTTTGAGTTAAATAATAATACAAATCTGAAACTACTTAAAACATTTGACGCTCCTCGCGCAGCCTAATATGATAATTCTTTTTGTACCAACTATGACTTTAGGAGAAAATGTTTGGTCAAAGCATCAAAATTATACCTAAACTGCTAACAAATTAAATGAGTACTTTAATACGAGAAACAAACAAAAAACTGTCTTGATAGCGAAAATCAGTGAAAGAAGGATTAAGTATTAAAGTAGCTAAATCATTAGATTCAATTTAAAATGACAAAATCATCTGATTACTTTCTGATAAATGTTTTTTTTCTATAAATCTTAAAGGGGCTATCTTATTAGCCTGAAGGTAGTTACATATACTAAAATATCGCCAGGAACATAGTGTACATTAGCTCAGTTACAATGTAACAACATTGATAAATATTCGTTGGTTGGTTTTTGAATTTCGTGCAAAGCTACATGATGACTAGCCGGCCCTAATTTAGCAGATAAAGAGTAGCCACTACCCACTGCCAACTTTTGGACTAGTCTTTTAGCAACGAATAGCGAGATTGTTTTTCACGTTAAAACGCACTCTTAAAAGGGCGAGATGTTTAGTGAGACGGGGATTCGAACCAGCGACCCGTAGATTGCGAGTCGAGCGCTCAAACCATCTGGCCATGCCAGGCTTTCATACTTATATATATATGTATATATATATGTGTGTGTGAAATCTAACACCGTTTTCTGTTTTCATAATAATTTATGCGACAATACCACCTATATTAAATAGGAGCAAGTGTGAGAGGGATCTGCACGAAACTGAATTTGGAAAGCAAAATTTTAGAAGATCCTTCTCTACCCCAGCAGCCACTGAGAAGTCATTATGTTGAATACAGAAGACAGCCAGTAAGTGAATTAATTTTTTTTTTATCTACACTCTTGTGTACTTATTTTTCCTTTGTTGACATTGGCTAGAAAGACTATGAGGGGTTCAAGGGAAGAATACGAAATTGTATAACGGACTAAAATACAGTACTTTGCATTTGCACTGAGGTAAATTGCATGTTTCAAGTTAGGGCAAGTGATAGTTTCTTAGTTGGAAAGTTGGATCGATAATGTATGGCTTTTGACCATATGGTATCACAGACTATTATTTGTTTATCAGCAATTTTAGAAACTAATAAGATGAATAACTGGCAATTTCTGCCCAAACTATTATGATCTACTGCTCAGAATATGATATGTGGCAAAATTCAAGGATTTATATACAGTAACTGTGGAATTAAAATCTAATTTGCTCTTGATGATACTCACCTTTGTGTGGAACTTGGCAGTACTGAAACTCCAAATTACACGTTGCATTCACATGCTGTCGAGTTTGAAACAAAGTCGTATTGTTGTGAAAGAGCTTTACTAGCCCTGTGTCTAACTAACTTTCATTAAAACATCATAGAACGTATGGAATAATACATATTAAATATTCTATCTAAGCTTTATGAGAATGTTGTTCATACTTCTTATGTTGCAAGTGCATGTATGTTATTATTACTGAAACTGAAATCCTTACGATCATTATAATGTCAATCATATAAAATTTCTGCCATGATACTGCAAATACTTCCTGGTAAACTTTAGGTTTTTACAGATGTTATAGCAATCACGTGCTTTTCGAACAACTGAATGTTCACAAATGGCTGTATTCACCAGTTTACCAGAACGAGTAAACTTTTGTATGAAAATAATAATTACATTGTACAACAAAATAATTTGCTACTGGAGAAAACTCAAACGATTCGGGGTACTTTGGTGATGCTGGTTTCAAAAATGTAGTAAGAATTTGTCCATCACCTCTCGATTTTGAGTTATTTTAATATCTCAATATTTTTCAGCACAATGTAAAATACAATGCAATTAAATCAGTACAATAGATTATGCCGTGAAATTTAGCATACTTGGACATTTTAATGGGTAAAAGGCATACATATTTGATAACTTCAAACACCGACTGTAGTGTATTGGTGTAAAATTCCAAATATATTGTTCATATATGCCATTTGTTCTCGATATAAATATAGCGAATTTCACCACTTTTGCTTCATTCCAGCGCTCACATGCTCCGCCCGGTAATCACAAAACCCTCATATGTTCAGTTTTCTAGAACATTCGAAAAATCCATCGACTGTGTATAAAAGGGGCGGAGTCAAACGCCCCTCTTTCAGTTGTCTCTCACTCACTCAGTTGGTCATTTCGCCTTGCATGTCAAAATAAAGTTCGATCTTCTTTCTCGCATCATATCAGCGATATAACAAAATTCTGCAAAACTTTATTTTTTAAAACATTTTAAACTCTGTTACGAATTAGAATTTCAAATAGCCTGAAATTGAGTTAACTGATGAATTTAAATTTAGTAGTTAAATTGTACTTTGAATTTAGAAGTTAAATTAAAGCCAATATATAGTCAGTTTATGATATTTGCCAACCAGATTGATACACACAGTTTTCTTTTTTTTTTGACACAAATACGTTTTAACATACATACACCAATACAATACTCTGAATTTAGAAGTTAAATTAAAGCCAATATATAGTCAGTTTATGATATTTGCCAACCAGACTGATACACACAGTTTTCTTTTTTTTGACACAAATACGTTTTAATATACACACACCAATACAATTTACAGTAACAGTTATTACAAATACTTATTACAAACAATGATTTATAAACAAAAGTTTCACAAACAAGCAATATAAAGTCACTAGGGCTATTCTAGCCGTCCCTAATTGAGCAGTGAAATACTAAAGGGAAAGCAGCTAGTCATCACTACCCACCGCCAATTCTTGGGCGACTGTTTTATCAATAAATAGTGGGATTGACCGTCACATTATAATGCCCCAATGGCTGAAAGGGTGAGCATGTTTGGTGTGACGGGGATTCGATCTCGCGTCCTGCAGATTGCGAGTTGAGCACCCTAACCACCTGGCCATGCCGGGCACCCAGTATAACCAGGTGGTTAGGGCACAATCTCAGGGTCGAGGGTTCGAATCTCCGTCACCGAGCATGCTCGCCTTTTATAATGTGACAGTCAATCCCATTATTCGTTGGTAAAAGAGTAGCCCAAGAGTTGGCGGTGGGTGGTGATGACTATTGCCTTCCCTCTAGTCTTACACTGTTAAATTAGGGATGGCTAGCGCAGATAGTCCTCGTATAGCTTTGGGCGAAATTCAAAACAAACAAACAATCATACCGGGCCGTGTCCCAAGGAAATTGCTGTGTGTGACTTCTTTTAGCGTGTAACAAAAAATTACTATCGAACAAAAAAGCACAAAATGATCAAGTTATAATTACTTAGACTCTTTTTCAGGACTACAACTTATCCAAGCTTGGATGATACTATAAAATACCAGAATATATACGAAAGATGTACACAGAAATCTTTGGGTTCTAATTTTTAATAAAATTACAAGACTTTTTCTCCTTGTTCATTATTGTTTGATACAAAAATTATCAATCATGGCTGCATTCGATCTGTTGCATGATCTTCCTTATC